CAGTAATAGTAATAAATCTCACAGCAATAGTTCATTCATGTAGTTGTAAAAAGCATGATGATATAAAAAGTAAATACATAAAGTAATCCAAAGTATTCAAAATATTCATCATATAATCTGTAGTGGAATACATTTTAGAGGTAACCTTCCCAACACTGATGCCAGCACATAATTGGACCACCACCACCTTAAGATTCTTCATATGTTTGTGCCTATAACCTCACCTCTGACTGTCTTTTCTTTATCTGTAGTCTCCACCAAAAGGAGCGACTATTCCATACCGACCCAGCCCGACTCCGGGAACTGTACTGCTGGCAGGAAACCAGGTAAGCTGTTGGAGAATGATGATAATTAACATCCTGCTGGAAATCACGTACCACTGTAAAGGTCCTTCAGATGAACCGTAACAGGGAGCAAAACATAAAATATGCAAGACGGCAGGAAAATGATAGATGGAGCAGACAGAACAAAATAATGCAGGTATCCAGTGATGAAAGTAGTATGAGAGTGGCAGAATAAAGGAAATGATTAATGAAGGCAGAACAAACAGATTTATAGACAGAGGAAAATCAGGTAACAGAAGGAAGCATGAAAGGAGGAGAGGCAGAGATGTTGGTGAGGGAGGCACGGGCGGACGGATTAATGGGTCAGATAGACGCGTAGATGAAGGGGATTTAGGGAGGTATGAAGAAGTGATGGATGTATGGGAGTACTGAGGAAGAGATGGAGGAGTGGACGGATGAGTGAGTCGATACATAATTTATTATTCAAGAATATGCTTTGGTTTGCAATTTCAGTGTCAGACAGAATACCCACATGGTCGCTTACCCTCTTCTGTTTTTTCCATACACAGTCATGTTTCCATCTTTTCAGAGGAGATCAAACTGCCTTACTTTAATTTCCTGGATGTAGACTAAACTTAATCTAGAACAGCAATTTCCTTCAAATGGCTCCACAGGCAACTTTTGGTCCTCACAAACTGAGGTCCCCGCAAGTCATTAAATAGATTTATGTCCCCACAACATCAGTAATACAAGTATGGATGTGTACACACACACACAGTCCACTTGCTAAGTTGTAGGGTGTAGGCGGCTCCTGTCACACCAGTTCAGTATGATAAGTATTCACTAGAGAAAACATTTGTCGCTGCTGGAGAGGAAACCTTGGTTTGTCTGTGTTTCGGTGGACACTGAATTTGTTGGATTGGAAAGTTTTCACCAAATTCTACTATATATGATTTTTATTTCCAGACCAGATTGTTATCTCTTCCAGGGAAGTCATGTGATCATCCATTTGATAGCATCCTTGAAAGGCTGGGGACGGATTTGAACAAATATGGGGACTGGTTGAACTTGATTCACTTTTAGATACAATCTGATTCTATAACCAGGAATTTGTGGAAAATGTTTTTTGTTCCAAAATAGGACAAAACTTTGCATCATGTAAGATCAGATGGACATCTATCAGGTCATTGGTGACCCATCTAGGGCTGTGATTAAGATATTGTTTGTTTGTAGCTGAACTTTTCCTTGTTTGAAACACCTCGTAATGGAAAACACTGGTGTCAAATATATTTGAGTTCAACTTAAAACTATCTTGTAGTTTCTATAAATTTGCCTTAGACATGTTTGGGCTGGTGAATATTACAAGGTCAGTGATCTCAAAATTAACTTTTCCTTCAAAGGTCTTAATATTTTTTACAAAATGTGCATGAAACACTTTATTTTGTTGTGACATCTTTTATTCAGGTAAGAAAAACAAGGTCACACAAATAGGATGCAATCTGCAATCGATGTAGAAAACCTGAAAAATGAAATTAGATGTTTGTCTGCAGACTCTTCTGACGGACCTTGAAGGTAATCAGTGGGAAGCCACCTCGTAGTTAAAACAAAACAATGGATTTGCTGACTTAAATATAATTTAAAGTAAAGATATAATAAGAAACGATGCTTTTTGCCTTCTTACCACTTATTCTGCTCTTCAGACTGCAGGGATTGATCGTCAGTATAATCACATCAAGTCCCATTTCTGACGATTACACTGTGGATCTTCAGATTAAACCAATAACTCATTTTAATAGATCACCATGTGGAACTGATTTAGGTAATTGTGTCATGGTGTTAGAGGATTATAGTCGTTGGAAATAAAATCTAGATTATTTACAGCCTAATAATGTTTCTAAACAAAAACAGTATATTTTACTTGTTTGCATTTGCAGAGTTTACAAATGAAACTAAAATAAATGCTCAGGATGCTGAGTGCCATAAACCCCGACCTAAACGTTCCTGCGTTTACAGAAAGTATTAATCGACAGAGAAAAACATGTTCTGGGTAGAAGTGGTTCGACGTTTAGCCCAAGGCGGCTCCAGTGTAAACACAGGTAGAGGATTTTATATCTTTCTAAGTTTCTTAGTCCTGGGGAAAGTCCCTGCAGTGAAATGACAGCTAGAAGCACGAGAAGCTTTGTGCCTCTGCTAGCTTAAGTCTGGGAGTCTCTTGGCCCTTTGTGAGTCACTAGAAACACATTTATGGCCCTTTGTGAGTCACTGTGCTACGGCTGTGCTACAAAATCTCTCTGTGTGTTTCTTTAAGCGTAACCCCAGAGATTCCCAGCGTACTGCAGTCACATCCTTCCTGTTTAACTCGTTGACCTTGTAAAGTTGTTCTTGTTGAGCTTGGATTACACCACTGTTATTGACTCTTATCGACAAGGCACAAACTGGAAATGTGGTCGTCCAGATTTCTAAAGAAACTGAAGCTACAGAAACACAAGCAGCATTTTCATTCCTCAGAATCATCCAGATTCTGCTACATTTAATTTTTCATCAAACCCAACACACCAGAGGAAGACAAAGAAGATGCTGAGTCGGGGCTAAAAGCTCACAGGTCAGGCGGTGGTGACAACAAACATGCAGCCTTCCTGTGTGCTGATAGGTTGATTTGGCTTAGTGACAAAAAACAGCTTCATGGTTTGTAGCATTTGGTAAAGAAGTGATTTATGAATATAAAACAAAGACTTCACGATAAGCGACGTGATTGCTAAAACTGAAACAGCCTCAGAATTGCGAGCAAGATCATTTTGTTGTGTAATTTGTGTATTTTAGTAAGATAAGAGATAAGATAAGATAAAACTTTATTAATCCCTCGGGTGGGTTCCTCTGGGAAATTCGGTTTCCAAAAAAGCACCGACAGAAGTTACAGAGTTACAGAATATTATATATATATATACACATATATAAATACAGAGACATATATAAATAAAATATACAAAGGGGATAAATAGAATAAAAAGGAATAAAAATAAAAGTAAAATTGCACATTTCAAGTATTGAAATCTATTGCACCATTGACTATTAACAGAAGTATTGCACAAAAGGTATTGCATAGTGAAGTGAAGAGGCACTACAGCTTAGTTGTTCCCCCCTCCTTTGTCCTCCCTCTCCCCTCCAGAGAGGAGTTAGACAGTCTAGTACAACAATTAAGAGCAGCGGTCTCCAAACTTTTTTGTGCCACGGACCGGTTTATGCCCGACAATATTTTCACGGACCGGCCTTTAAGGTGTCGTGGATAAATACAACAAAATAAAACTAGAACCGGTACCGAAAAAAAGAAGATTTATTCATAACACACGTGAAAAGACCCAGGAAAACCGAGTAAACGATAAAAACGATAACAAAATAACGCTGAAAAC